ATCAAAACAGAGGGAGATCCGCGGGAATCCTGGGTCCTAGGAGATCGATGATTGGTTCTGCTTAAAAGTAAGTTCAACTGGATGCAACACCTGTGTCTCTACTGTTCCTCATCCCTCCTTAATACCTAGGGTGTCGTTCCACGAGCGGTGGTGGAAGTCAGCAAAATAAATAAAAGATGTGGCTCTGAAGAGGCCGGAATTTGCCTGGAAGTTCAATATATTACCAATTTCCGGCCGCTCGTAGAATAGCTCGCCGGTGGAAGTTGCATTTAAAAAATGCGCACTTACTGCAGAATCCGACATGGCGTCGTCTCATTCGCTGATTGGGTGCCACGTCCCGGCACAGAAAATTATTTTTGTTCGACCTTACAAATACTCGGGTCGAGTTTTGATAAAAGTTGTGCCGCCGACGTGGCATTTATTTGCCCGGAAGTCCGCCCGTTGACCGACGGCAGAAACAATTTGAGCCAATCAGGGAATTTATATTTCTACTTCCACCGCTCGTGGAACGACACCCTTATCATTCACTGTGCTTCCAGGACTTTTCAGCTGCGGATGTGGTTTTGCCCGCAATCGATGGAATCGATGGAGCAATCGGCCAATCCTGGCGCCAAGTGCAGATATTGGCATATATGACCACTGATCATCAGTCTAGCATTCCGCCATTTGCTCATCTGGTGCTTAATAGTCACTGTAGCTGCACATACTTCGCTCAAAAGCAGCTGCCTGAACACATTGTCTCGTACATGAGAGAATGCTGCATTCACGTCGAACTTTTAACCCTCAGCAAAAAGCATACATGTCAAGCAGCCTGATCGGCTGGTGCAATCATGTTAGGTTTAGTCGCTGGGATCAGCATTTCTAATATCCACCTTCAAGGACGTAGAAAGGCCACAAAATAGTCAACACAGCAAACCCCTCCTTGTGGGATGTGCTGATTAGCATGACACGATGGGTTGCGGCGCATCGATCGATGCGGGCCAAGTCGACCGCAAAGCTCTTGCCCCCAGCCTAGTTGTTACCCTGCATGACCATCAGCCTACGCGCACCTCCCAAAAGGATGAGCCTCGGCGCAGCTCAAAAAACGATGGTCCCAGGCGCGGCTCCCAAAGCCGGGGCGACTCTCGGCGGAACTGGAAAAGGGATGCCTCAAAGGACGGCGAGCGGTTCGGCAAGGGGGAGGTCACCGTGGTTCTGCTGCTCGGTGAGTGTCGCCGAGTGCTTGCCCGAGATGAAAGTTTGCTTTTTGTTGTTTTGCGTTTGTCGTTCTCCAGCTCCTCTGCCGGGTCACTCTCGTTAAGCTGTGGAACTCGTTAAGGCATCGAATGAGCACGAGATAGGATGGTTGAGACGCCTTAGGCTGCTTCACAAGATAAAGCGAGACGACCTCAGACAGGCAACTCGAGAAAGTTAGGACGTTTTCATCGCCCTCCAGCTCCTCTTAGGCTGTTCTCGCTTTGCTGCGGGTTTGGTTGAGGTTAGGTTAGGCCGAGTCAATGGTGGGGAGGCTCGATAGATAAACAGAAATTGTCGCCTGCTGCTCGGTGAGTGTTACCAAGTGCCAGAGAAGATTTTTTTCCTTTTGTTGTTTGGTGACTGTTGTTGGGAGCTTGGTGAAGAGCAGAACATGCTCTGCTGTTGCCTAAAGACCCTTACCGAGCGCATGTTGAAGAGCAAAATCGTTTTTGGCTGCTCAATGACGGGCACCGGGCCTTTGTTGAAGAGCAAGCGTTGCTGTTCTGCTGCTTGCTGAGTGGTCATGGGGTGTATGTGGAAGAACAAAGGTGGCATGAATACACGACTCAATGCAATCATCTGCTTTGTCCAAGATCGTAATCGATTCGAAGGAGCTAAAGTGAAGAGAAACCTCCGTAGTCTGGGCGGCATAATCGGAATTCAAATAGCCGCTTTGCACCAGTACTCATTCAATCCCTAGAGCACCTCCAACAGTCTTACCAGGGAGTTCATATCAGAATGTAGCCGTATTCAACTTTATTCAAACAATCTTCCCTCATGGGCGTTAAGCATGTACTACTCCACAGCATCCAGAGGAAGGTGCTACATGTTGAACAGCAAGAAACGAAGCAACTCTTTGATCACTTGCACTCAGAATAAGCGTCCGCTTTTTCCAGGGGCGACCAATTTCACTCTGGAACATTCGGAGGAGTGGGCTCACGTTGCGGAGGAGCTAGGGTTTTGCCGGCTGGGCATGGGGAAAATTCTTCAGGAGAAAACGGAAAAGGAAAATGGAGCGGTGAAAAAGGAAGCGCGAAACGGAGCGGACGACAGGGAGCCGGAGACCAGAGAAGCTGAAAAGGGAGCGGAAAGCGGATCGGGGAAAGCGGAAATGGAGAGCAGTGCAGTGAACAGGAAAGTGGAAATTGGAGCAGAGAAACTAGAAGCGGAGCAGGGAGAGGGCGAAAAAGGAGCAGTCAACGGAGCAGATGATAAAGAAGCCGAAAGCAAAACAGTGCCGAAAGTGGCAAACGGAACGGGCAAAGAGGAAACGGAGAACCGAGCAGAGAAAAATGAATTGGGAAACGGAGCGGAGGATGGAGCGGGAAAACAAGAAGCGAAGGTGGAATTAAATGAAAACGTGATGGACGGGACAAGGGAGAAAACGGAAGTGGAGATTTTAGGAGCCCCGGATGACGGGAAGGGAGCGACTGAAAATGGGGGAGCTGAGATCATTAGGGCGGTGAGTGTGATACCGCGTTACGGCATCTTCAAACAGTTTGATGGTGTTGAGATGATGAGCTCCGAGAACCGACCGGAAGCAGAGCCACTCGGACTTTGTGAAGGGCTTAACCTATATCACGGTTTCAACATTTGGCAACGCTCTTTGCCATGACCTTCGAAACAATCAAGAGGCACCGTATCAAGCCTTCTTTATCAGGTCTCCAAAGCGAAGGAAGCACCGTTATGTCTGTTAGCTGCACAACTCGAGGCGGCAGTTTCTGCAGGTATACACGTTGCTGGACTTTTGTGAGTTCTCATTCTTTGTCGGCAGATCGACCGACCGTTCCAATCGCCATTTCAAAGCTTCATAGGTTCTGGACTAGCAGCAAACCGTTATGACCAGCTTTTATCATTCCCTTCTAGTCCAAATAAGTGGCTCTCACTGCGTCCCGCTTGATTGACCTTCCTCCTCCGGACAATCGACTGGCTGCTTTTAACTGTGTCGACGTTTCTTGCATCGACTGTTCTGGTCTTCAGGCATCCTTCGAACCGACATGATCTAAAACCTGAGCCGCAAGAACCATACTTGCAGATTAGTGGGCCGCTGCTCATAGTTAGTCTTGGGGAGTTGTCGGAACCGCACAAGCGGGATTGGGCGCCGTGTATGGTGTTGTGCCGAAAGATGTCAAATCTTCGGTTGCTTCAGGAAAGCGCTTCTCTGGCTTGTTCTGCTTTTTCCGTATTCCGCTGTGGCTCTTTCCGCTTAACGTTCTTTCGCTCTCAATTTCGGCTCGGCAGCTCCCTGACCCCCCCGTTTTCAGACGTTTCCCAACCTTTGCCGCCAGAAACCCCTTTCTCCGCGCAAACGTTCCGGTTCGTTTGACTATGCGATCCCCTTTCCGCCGTCTCGACCTTTCTCAGTCACTGCCGCCAGGACCCATAGTTTCGAGCGGCGCCATTCCGTTTCCGTCGAACGTGCGTTCCGTCTTTCGAAGGACCCGGCGTCACCAGTCACTGCCGCTACGAGCCCTTTCCCCGAGCGGCCGTTCCGCTTCCTCCAATGGTGCTTCCGTTCTCGTCGATAATGCGTTCCGTTTACCGATTCCCTAACGTTATTATCACCTGCCCCAGGCACCCCTCTCTCTGCACGGCGATTCCGGTTCCTTCGACCAAGCGTTCCGGGGCCTTTTGGGGGCGATCCGGCGGATCGCCGGGCGGCGACTCCTCATCGACGGCACTACGTGGACGGTCCGAGAAGTCGAGGCGTTTGAAGCGATCGTGGCGCCGATCGACCTCGTTCTTTTGTTCGACTGCGCACAGGTAATGTCCTTTCCCCTTCTGTGCGTATTTGCCTCTCGATTTGGCAGTTGACAATCACAGCCTATGAAAGTTTGTGGACGCTTTGAGATGTCGGCGTTGAAGACTCGATCGTGGCCCCTTCTGTCCTCGTTCTATTGTTCAAACTGCGCACAGGAGTCGGACTCTTCCTATTCCTCCCGCTTGCTGATCGCGTCGTCCCGCTTTTGACTTACAGGACACTTCGCTCGAGCCCAAAGCGGAACTTCCAGGAGCTGACGTCAGCAGCCCACCTGATAGCCACGTCGAGTCTCTCGGTACCGCCGCCGGCCGTCAGCCTGGGGACGAAAGCGCGTCCTCGGAAGGTGACGTCAGCGTCACCCCAGAAACTCAAACCGCATCGTTGAAGGCTGACGTCATCGGCCAGCCCGAAAGAAGTGTTGCAACCCTAGAAGCCGACGTCAGCAGTCAGCCGGTAGTCAGCAACACGACGTCAGCAGCGGCCGCGGCCGCGGCCGACCGCTTTGGCCCCCTGAGGGATTACTTCAAGGAGCGCGTCAGCGGTGGGAAGAGTGACGTCATCGTTCACGTGGTCTCCAGCGGGTCCGCGTCAGCAGATGACGTGGCCAAGGTCCTACACGAGCAGGAGTACAGATTTGTTCCGTTGGAAGCAGTCGCGCGCGTGGACAGCAATAAGCGATTGGCGGAGGAGGATAAGCGATGGGCGGCTCTGATGGCGGCCAATCCTAGCGGTCCGATTGCTACCGCGTCGCCGGAGGATACGGAGAGCGCCGCCGAGAAGTTTCGGAAAGAGTGAGTCTGCATGCGATTTGCAAAGCCCATTTGTTAATCTTAGGATCTAGAAATCAAGACACCTGAAAGCCTAAAGCTCCACTAGACGCATGAAAATCTGTAACCACTTTAAGAACTCGCTTTGGGACCATTTGCTTGGAAGCCGCGAAGACCCAGGAAGAACGATTCGACATCTTTGCGCCTGAAAAGTTGAGATGGGACCTTGTTGCCGGATTTCACTCGCCCTTGTAGCTCGCCAAAATAAATATCGGTGACGTCATTCAATACCCATACGTGGGCTGTCAAACTATACAGATGCTTTCAACTTCCTTGCCCTGTCATCATTCAGCTTCACATACTCGTCAAACAATTTGCCCACCTTCGGAGCGCTTGCTGCGCACCTCCTGTAAAATCGCCCCATCAGGCCCTGACGTCAGCAGAACCCTGTAAGCTAGATCCAATCCCCGACTCCCTGACAAAAGCACCGCTTCCGAGTCCCGCCCAGATCGCTCTTTGCACGTTCAGATTACTTCGACAGTCGGCTGTGGCATTTTAACGAGACCGGAGAATCCATTCTTTAAAGACTCAAGCGAAACGTAGTTCTTACCGAGAAGTTGTCGTTTTCTTAGGTATCCGTGGGTCGTTCCGCTGAAGTACGTTGCCAGCTTCTGCGTCCGCTTAACGGAACGCTACTGGGCGTGGTTCGACCCGGAACCAGTGGAGGCCGAATCCGATTCCGAGGACGAAGGGGGAACTACAGACGTAAAGACTTGACAAACACACGAATGGAAAGTCGACAGTTTGGGGACGAGTTGAAACGTGCATAGCATGCATTTAGCATATTCATACACATTATCTTACGTTATAATATCCAGCTGCCACTACTATCATCAGCGGTAAAATAGTAGATGCATATCTCCGTACTAGGTAGTCGTTTACGCACACCCGAGTCAGCGGATAAGGCACAGTGGCTGTGGGTAGGGATAAGGGAAGGGGATCGAAGAAAGAGGAGGACCCGAGTTCAAGTTGGCGATCCGTCAGTCACAAAGGTGACATTCAGCGGAATGCTACAAAGAATGAGTCGTTGGAAGACGAGAGTGGGCCGTTCAAAGGTACAGTCAGCGGATGGATCAGACGGGGTCGATATTCAGTGATAAGAAAAAGAGTCAGCTATGCAGAGTCTGCCGGCATTGAGGGGAAATAGCATTTAGACCACTACGCATGCGGTAATATCTAGCCTGTATTCCAAAGCAGCATTCAAGCACTGCATGTACAGTAGGTAGCATTCTGGACGCTTATTACTACTCACGAGCTTTCTAACAGCCTGCATTCAGTACGCTTAATATATGTTGTTCCTGCATTCAGTACGCTTCATATCATTGCGTTGTTCGCACATCATCTTTTGATCAACTGCGCTCCATCCAATCTCGGGTTCAATTCCAGATTTGCACATGCAAGAGTTCATGAGGCCGGTGGTTAATTGCTGAAAAGGTGTCCGTCGATCGACTGAGCAGGCAGTACAAGAGTCGCTTGTCGTAAAAAGCAATGGTTGGAGCATTGATGTCCGACGCATGTTTAATTCACAGCATGAGTTCAAGCGATACGAAGAGCAACTCTGAGTACCGTATTAGCACAACGTGGGATAAATTTTCGATTTTTGATTGCCCTACATGGTGTAATTGCGGTCAGAAACCTCATATTTTCTGGCGATCGCTCGGTATTGATGGTGACAAAAAAGGGTGATTCAGCTTCTTTCACCCGCTTCGAATTAAGCGGGTTTGACGGAAGCAGGAGGTTTGATGAGGGTCGTCTCGCAGGATTCTTGGCGGTCAGTTACAGGCTGGTTAGGATCGATCTGGCTCTAATATCTTTATGCCCGGAGACTCGAGCATAGCGAGACTATTGAGATCGCGACAATGAGGGCGGTTACTGGCTGAAGATGCAGAGACGAAGAGACGTCTGGTTGCCGAAGCCTCATTAGCAGCCCAGCCCTAAATGTTGATGCGATGGGCCTTTCCAAATGTGGAGCGACATGGGCGCCGTGGATGAATGCCGGCGGCCAGGCCGCTGTTGACGCGTGCCAAGAGAGGTCGGTCAAAGTGATTCTTCTATAGATTAGCTAGGATAGTCCCCGAGGGTCAGGAAAACTGAAAACCTAGACCAACAAAACACCCGCTTCCGCCGCCCCGTCCCCGCCCCGTACCCACCCGTTCCCACCAACCATTGTCCCACCCGTTCCCCAGCCGGCCCTTGACCATATCCCACCTAGAAGTAACCTACCTGAAAAATATGTCTATGTCCGGGTGGGAGTCCGGTCAAGATGCCCTGTTACAGTTACTTAGAGCGGCTGGCCCGTTGGAGGCCGCGCCACTGCAGCCGCCGCTGCGGACGCGGCCGCGCAGCGGGCAGTGAGTTCTGAAAAGGCCGCGGCCGCCCCCGCGCACTTGAAACCCTTGTAAACCCGGCCGCGCAGAAACCTTTGCGCCGCGGACTCCGAGTAGTCGCGAGCCGGCCGCGAGCTACTGGCCGCCGGTCACGTACCACCTTGGGTACGTTTCCTGTTGACAATTCAAAACGCTGACAGTGATGCCCAACGAAATTACAAGACTCTCTAGCAACTCTACCCGACGTTCTCTTTGAATAGGTATAAAAAGCTCACTTTATAGTACTGGAACGGGTAGGGCACGGGTAGGCCGGTTACTTATATTTATATATGGGGGTTAGAGTGGGTACGGGTGCGGAGCCGCTGATTGTCTGGAATTAGGTATAAATCTAAAGTGTTAGCTTCGTTCTTACCTCGTTCTTACCATTCCTTGAGCTTAGATTGAAGCTGATATCCTAGAAAAGTATGCAAATTCGGGCGATTAACTTCCTTGCCGTACGTTGACTGCTCTTACATCCAGCCAGCCAGCGTCATGAGCGCCAATCCAGTGGGTGCAGAGCCCTGGGCCCGGTCTGGCACAGGGACGTCTGGAGGTCAACTTGAGGAAATGGAACAGAAAAACAGAGAAATAGCAATTAGTGAAGAAGGTCGAAGGCAGAAGCAGCCTGAAGACGGGAGAGATGACGACCGGCGGCCACTGGCAGAAGAAGGGAAGAAGGCGAGGCAGTATGAGCAGGATTGGAAGAAGGGCTTGCAGGTAAGAACAAAAGTTTTCCAGAGCTAGTGCAAAGACACCGGAGCTGATACAGCCTACCCCTTGTCACCGGCTGGTCAAGTCCTCTTGGATGTAGAGAAGGACTTGATTCTAATCGCGGACTGAAGGCCTTTCTTCTTGAGATGATCTGTTGACTTCAGCTCTGAAAAGTTTGAGGATCCTCCCTTGAAATTTACTTCTAATTGCATACCGACATATTTGACTCAGCTTTTGATGTGAAGACGTAAAAACCTTTCAACTTCTTGCAATTATCTGTTGATTTCAGCTTTGATTTGGTTGACGTTTCTTTTTCAGAGATTATTGCTGGATGCAGTCTGGACAATTTGAAGGCATACCGACATGTTTAACCCAGCTTTTCATGTGTAGCTGGCACTCATCTTCAGCTGATTATTTGAGCCCGAAGTGTCAGCTAGTTAGACGAGATTATTGGAGGTAATATTCTTAAACAAGTCAGCCTATCATGAGTGAAGTTTATCGGCGCGAGTCTTTGAATAAGCCAGGTTGACTTGACTGGGAGTTGAATGGAACCTTCTAAACGCTTAGCCCTTGATAAGAGGTGGTAAGGCCATGGATCTTCATGCGGTACAGCTCAGGCCTAACGCATCATGTGATCCACATCGCAAGGGAGGGACTTGACACTGATGTTTAGGGTCAGCGTCAAGGTTTTGAACGATGATCTGAGATATTTCGCTAACCGATACTTCATTACCTGCAGGTAAACGAACCGTTCGAGGTCAAGGTGAAATAGCTTCAACAAACCGCATTACACAAGCAACGGGGAAAACCTCTTGGCCCTACGGTTTACAAAGCTGCTGTTTCCTTCTCGCTGCAGAGAGCCTTCTTCACCGTCTTGAAAGGAGCCCTCATGGGAGGACTGCTCGGAGCTGGCTTGCATATAAGCATGCATTGTTTCGATGAGCCGTTTGCGTACCAGAAAACGCCAGAACCCTGGTCCCAGAAGGCGACCAAAAAAGCCGTGGGTGGAGCGGTTCTCGGCGGGACTTCTACTGCCGCCTACTTCCTTCTTGAGAGCATACAGAACGACGTCAAGCAAGAGGCCGAGAAACGCTAGCCCAGTTTGTAGTGAATTAAGCAGGAAACTCATAGAAGGGACAGAAATGGTCGATTGAAAAGTTTGATCGTCAGATAACGAACTTAAGCCCGCAACTCCTAGGTGGTGGATAGCGGGGGACAGCTGTTCAAACGGGTATCAAAGAATGTCGTTCACGTCAGTCAGTCGGCTGAATTCCTTAGGTACTGTGTTGTTTCAACTCAGCCCTAAGGGAGTAAAAGTTGATCATTACCCGATAGGAGACACTCCACCTCCCGACCAGTACTGGTTTGCTCTATAGTCAAGGCTATCTTTCTGAGCAGGGGTGTATCAGTTTTACGAAATCGTAGATAGGTAGATCGTCGAGATCCTACCGCCACACATCATCGAGTAGTAGCGGTCAGGACTTGAAACCGGAAAACTCAGCTCAGGCACTTTGAAGTTGCAAGTAAGCCAACAAATCGTCCGGACTTAATCGTACGCCTCAATGTTCTAAATTTGCTGCCAGAGGGCTGGTTGATCTTAACTCTAAGCTTAATCACACACTATACCCATATATATACAGTCACCCGTACAACGCCAAGGTTGATATACTGGTGTACAAAGATAGAAAGATGCGGCTGGTTGAACGCCCATGGCGCGAAGTGCACCCAAGTTGCGTAGATGCGGATCCATGTCAAAGTAATCAGAAGAACATCCTTGCACGCATTCGAACGCGTAATCAGCTGAAAACTGCATGTGATCATGTGCGCTCACATGGCATGTGAGATTCTTGGCTCGTCTCAAAGCGACCGCATCAATGCCGACCGGCGGCCGCGCGCGCGGGCGCAACTACGTAGCTAAGGCCTGCGCTAAACCTAAGGGCCGAGTCGACTGCCAGGACCGCACTGGCCGGCCGCGGGTCCTTTGCGACGCCTACGCACCCTTCTTTGAGCTGCAATTTTTCCTACATGAGTCCGCAGCATCAAGGCACTCCTTAGCGCCATCATGACTGTCATGAGCGCCCGCGTTCCAAGTGGCCAAAAGGATGATGCGGCGTTAGGCGGTTCTGGATCTGCGATCAAAACCCCAGCGCCTCCAACCGGGACTGCTTCTGAAGCAGAGGAGATCACTCAAGCGGGAGCGGAACAGGTGGAGGGTGCGGTGGAAGGAGGAGAGAGAGAGAGGCAGGGAGGGGCTGAGGCAAAAGGTTGGGAAGGAGAGTTGCAGGTAAGGCAGCAGGGTAATGGCTCCACATATTTTACAAGCTTCATTCTCGTCCCAGCGCTCTGAATAAGATTCAATTTGAGCTGGGAAGCAGATCACTCTAGGGTTCAGCAACCGGGGAACTGCAGAAACGACAGCAGGTCGGTGGTTCCAAAAGCTTACGACCACGTCTCACTTTCTCTCTGATGGAATCTTTAGCACATCTGATCTTCTGTGAACTTTTCCGTTTCAGCTGAGTGAACAAACGGTTTTAGTTTTGAAAAAACTAGGGCCGTTTGTTCACTCAGCCTCTAATCAGTGTACGAGACCTCTAAGTGAGTGCGGCAACATGGGCTGCACTCAAAAGATCATCTGCTGACGCGTTCTGGCCGCATTAATTATTCCCGCTCTGAGGTTGGAAGTCTCAGATCATGAGTTGCAGTCTAATATCAAATGTTCTGGCATCCAAGTGCATGGAATTCTGCTTGGCCATCCCTTAGTAGCATATGAACGCGATTCAACAAGAGCTCATGATTCGATGCCCATAACCCATCACCCAGTCACAATTTGATAACAGTTTATTGCCACTGTAACGAAGCCCAAAGGCTCCGTTACTAGGCTCTCAGGTATACCTCAGACAGTGGTCGAAGGAAATTCCTCAGACCGGGGTCGATTTCCTTCTTAAGTGAATTGAGATTTGAAATACGTCTTGGATTTAAAAATTTCTCTGGGAATAACAATAGGCTGGGGATATTGTGATATGTCCTGGGATCTTGACTTCAATATTGTCCAGTGATGCAGAGAGCTGGAGTCCCTGTTCTGAAGGGAGCCGTCGCCGGCGCACTTCTCTTCGCCGCCATCCCCATCTCGTTTCGCGTCTTCGTCGGGCCGCCGCGCCGCCGCTATCCTTTCGACACGTTAACCTGGTTCAAAACACTCGAGGCGGCCTACAGAATGGCCACAGGTGGAGCGGTTGTTGGCGGGACTATAACCACCGCGGTCCTCCTCCTCGGCACCATTAAAAAAGATTACCCATCAAAGGATGCCGGGCGCTCCAAGGGAGCGTGTATGCGATAAACGTAGGTATATACTGCAAAGATCAGAGGCGTCTTATTTTTGTGACAGATTTATAGGAGGCCGATCTCTTGTAATGGTCAGAGAAGATGGAAGGCGCCTGACCTGCATGAGGCTCGAGACTTCCAAAGCCGGCTCAAACTTTATGGAAGCTACATCATGCATGTGCTTGCTCGATGCTGTCTCATTCTTGCAGATCCTGCTGGCAAGCCGCACTATGATTGCCATGATTATTTGCACGACAAGAAGAACGGATCGTCGGTCCTCTTACTGTTTGGGGGTTCTTCCGTTCTCAGTATGATTGACGGCGACAGGAAGTAAGTGTCGAACAAACGTATACATGTGCTCGTACCAAGGTCCAATGTATCAATCTGACTTTCAGACGGACGCGTGTCGGACTCAACGCCGAGCCAGCGTGCAATGCCTGCAAGCAAGACGCGCCTCCCTACACAAGAGTCACGTCTCTTTGGACGGTCCGACGCCCATCAATTCAATCTGCCCCTCTATCCATCATGCTGCACCTGATGATCGATTTCTCAGCCCTTGATGTCGAAGGTGGTAAGCCCTTGGATCACCCAGGCCAACGCATCTTTTATCACTTCGCAAGGGAGGGACTCCTTGGCGGGATTGTTTTGGGTTTAGCGTGAAATGTTGAACACTGATCTGAGCAATTTGAACTCTTCGATATGTTCATATGTCTTTACCTGCCTCTAGACTAACGGCTCAAGGCCAGGGTGAAATGACTTCGAGTACTGAAACTGATATTTTACAAGCAAGGGGTAGAATTGTTTCGCTCTACGGTTTTGAAATTTGCTGTTTTCTTCTCGCTGCAGAGAGCCGTGTTTATAAACTTGAAAGGAGCCCACATGGACGGACTTTTAGGAGCCGTCTTGCACTTAAGCATGCACTGTTAAGCAGCTTGGATACCAGAGAATGCCAGAATCCTGGTCCCAAATCCGTCAAAAATGGACCAAAACGCGAGTTCTAGGTGGAGCGATTCTCGCCGGGACTTTTCCTGCCGCGGGCCCCCTTCTTGAGAGAAAACAGAAAGACTTCAAGCAAGAGGCCGAGAACGGAGTTCGGCAACGCTCGCTTGCACTAAGAGCAGCTTGCACTAAAATAAGTATGGCTAGCACCCGGGGGACGAGTGGGGTTAGTCTGGGGGTTAGGGTGGTTGCGGGTGCGGACCGCGTGGTTTGTTTGGTTAGGTTGTCTAGTTTGAGTGCCCGGGAGCTATGAATCTTAGTGCAAGCGGGTCTTAGTGCAAGCGAGCGTTGGCAGTATCGAGAACGCTAGCCGGTCACGTAATGATAATCGGAGTGCTCGTGCCAGGGGCCACAAGCGCCTAGGGTAAATTAACCTGCAACCGGTTCCATGCTCCGAGAGGTAGTTCGCACGTCTGCCCGGAACCCAAACTTGGTCAATATACTCCTTATAGGGTTAGCTCCAGAATCCCTGCCATTTTGGTTCCGGGCAGACGTGCGAACTGCCTGTTCTGGAGGTCGGGTTAAGGTGGGTTTACCAGCCAATTGGAGACTGACCATGTTTAATTAAGCAGTTAACCTAGGTCTGCCATCAACCGAGGACAGTTTGTGCCTCGGGGCAATGTGACGAGCAGATCGCAACCGTCCGATCGATGCGATTTGTCATCCTACGGCGCGGAGCATGTTGCACGCCCTTAAGCAGGGCGCTTGTGGCCCCTGGCTCGTGCCCCAGCCTTCAATCATGCTAACCGGCGGCCGCGCGCCGCACCTACATACGTACTTAAACCCTTCGAAATCTGCTGAACCCCGAATCAGGACCGCAGGCCGGCCGCGGCGCCGTTGCGGCGGTCACGCACCCTTCATTTCGCCACTTTTGTTTTACTTTAGGTCACAACCCAAAGGCGCATTTCAGCGCTATCATGAGCGCCCGCGTTCCGGTCGGCCGTAAGGACGCCGCGTTAGGGGGTCCCGATTCTGTGTTGACAAACCCAGCGCCTCAAACTGGGAATACTGCTGAGGGAGAGGAGACCACACAAGCGGGAGCAGAGCAGGTGGAGCGAGAGGTGGAGGGAGGGGAAGGAGAGAAGCAGCGAGAAAGTGAGACGGAAGCTTGGAAAAGAAAACTGCAGGTATGACAGCAGGACGATGTCTCCACAAACCCACGGACTCACGAAGTTTTCACTTGTAATGGGATCCTTAGCGTTGATTCTTTATGGAAGATTCCGTTGGAGCTGAGAGGCAACTTTCCTCAGAAAGTAGGGCTCTTTGTTCAGGACTCAGCTACAGTTAATTGTCCAAAACCTCTGACTGGGTGCGGCAGTATGGGCTGTGGATTGATGATTTACTGCCGCGCTCTGCACTTTTGTCCGCTATACAAAGTTGGAGGCCTCGAACCAGTTGCAGTTCAATGATTTATATATTTTATATTTGTATGGCGTCCAGTACATGCATTCACTTCTGCTTGGTATCTTGAGCATATGAACGCCATTCACTGAATCATCATAACCTGTTTGCCCATAACCCCGTCATAAGCTCACAACGAAACCAGAGCCTCTCCTCTACTTTGCTGGTTCGCTCGGGTGCTAAACTAGATGTTCTCGGATATGACTACTGTCTTGTTATACAGAAAGCCGGAATCGCTGTGCTAAAGGGAGCCGTCGCCGGCGCACTTCTCCTAGCCGGCATCCCCATCTCCATTCGGTGCTTCGTCGGTCCGCCGCGCCTCCGCTATCCGTACGAGGACACGTCGGACTGGCCCGAAACGTTCGAGACGGCCTCCAGAATGGCAACAGGCGGAGCCGTAGTAGGCGGGACTATAACAACCGCGGTCCTCCTCCTCGGCAGCATAGAGAATGATTATCCCTCAAAGGATGCCCGGCGGACCTGCAAGGGAGGTTGAATGCGATAAAAATGCGATAAAAGTGTACGTGTACTGCAAAGGCCCGAGGCGTCATGCGTGTGTGACAGATTCAGTAAGCCTTTCTTGTGACGGTCAGGGAAGATGAAATGAGACCGACCTGCATGGACTTCAAGACTTTCAAAGCCGATCAGGCTTGGAGCGGTTCTCGGCCGGGCCTCTACTGCCGCCTACTTCCTTCTTGAAAGCATACAGAAGGACTTCAAGTGAGAGACCGAAGGTCTCCGCTAGTTGACGTTTGCATACTTGGTAGATTACAAATCGACCCATCATTGATCAAACAGAACAGATGATGACAACTTTCAATTTTCACATTGTTCGACCAAAGTGGGGCAGTTTATCAAGGTCGTGGGTAGGGCTTCAGAATGCATTAGGGAGGGCTTTTGGTCATAAGACGTCGGCCAGAAAGTCTACGTATCACTGGCAAACTCATGGATGCTACGCTCAGATTACAACATTTTGAATCGACAACAGGCAATAATCTGAATTTCTGTGCTTGATTTCTTCTGCACTGGCTTTGTCTCTGCCTTGGAGACATACAGCAGTTCCAACTTCATTCCTTTCGGCGACTCTGACATGAAACGGATCGCAGACAGCTGGGCTCGGACCCCGCTTGGACTGAAGATGACGACCCGACGTTTTAACTAGGATGGTCGAACGAGCCGGATGCTTCAGGTGATGCTTATCTTTCATGTACTGGCAAAAAATACCAGCAAGACAAAAATGGTCTTGCTGCTTGTTCTGACTTCAAGTGCGAAGCTTCGGAGATCCTATCAGCCGGCCTTCCTGCTTAATGGTGTACGCATGCTCAGTCGCAATCTAGTCTTGAACGATGATTCTGCCAGTAATTTGTGATTTTGTTACATGAGGGCGCAAGGTTTGCGAATCAAGTCGCAGAATCTAAGCGCCGACCAAGAGAAGCCGTCACGGGAGCCGTCACAACTCAGACATTACTGTATTGTAAGCTACCGAGTCGTATAAGCTGATTTGATACTTGCACAAGCAACGCGAGGCATGCAAGTCGAGACATGGATGCCCCATGGATGTGGTCAACTTAGCGTTCATTCGTGCATCTTGAGGCACTAGTGCGCTACTTTCAGCGCGCGGGCGCGCGAGGGCGCACGGGCGCCCGCGGCCGAGCCGACTCGGATCGGACAGACCGTCGCGGCGGGCGCGCGCGGCGCTTCCCCGCGGCCGCATTTAAACCGTGCTGAAGTCAAACCCTCAACTGGCAAGCCGTGCGCAGGCCGGCCGCGCCGGGGCCGTCGGCGACGGTCACGAACTCTTCTTTGAACGCCAGTAAGAACTCAGTAGAGAAGTCTCTGTCTGAGCTAGGCAGCTCAAAGGTTGTGCCACCATGAGCGGCATATCGCTTGGCCGCCAAGAGGCGGCAGGGGGTTCTGAAGCTGCGATCCGAAACCCAGCAGCTCAAACTGGGGATGCTTCTAAGCCTGAGGAGCTCACAGAAGCGGGAGCACAGCAGGCGGAGGGGAAAGTGGAGGTAGGGGAAGGAGACAAGCAGAGTGGAGCTGAAAAGGAAGGCTGGAAAAAGGAGTTGGAGGTACGTTGAAAGCAGGCTCAATGGCTAAGACAATGCAACCCATGAATCCATTCTCGCTTACGACTGATTGTCAGTATTGGTTTTGTAAAAGCAACCCTGAAGCCCTCGTTCGAGATAACTTTGAGGCCATTGCTAGCTCACATCAAGTCCAGGGCGCCTTTACGCTGAATGTTCTTTCACGCTTCGACAGCCCCTTTCGAAGAAGCCTGAGGCACTCTTATAGAACATATCGGGTCAATACTGAATCAGAATAAGTCTAGGATCCATTCCCAATATCTGTTCTTACAATTCAACCACCGGAGGTCTGTATATAAAGCGCGGCAATAGCGGTCGAGATAGAACCTGCCTAATTTGATGATATAGTGATCTCTAAGTTTTCCCGCGAGGCTCTGTTGGGGTCTCGATCAGATGGTATTGATGAGGTGTTTTTGACGACGTAGACATTCACGTTTGCTGATGTGATTCCTTTTCTTTGTTTTTTTTGGCCATCTTCAGCCCCAATGTCTCTTAACCCATAACACCGTCCGTAACCCCTCACTAGATTTAGAACCTGCCACAGACGAAGCAGCTAGACTCCGTTAGGCCTCCATATTCCCTCTTAGTTCCTGAGAAGCTCAAAACAGATTCTTCCGTGATGCAGAAAGCCGGACTCACTGTACTGAAGGGAGCCCTAGCCCTAGGACTTGCTTTAGGCGCCATCCCAATCGCATGGCGGTGCTTTACTGGGCCACCGCGCACCGCTTGGTTTCCATTCGACGACACTTTTGAGTCTTGGCCCGACGCACTGAAGGCATCCTCTAGACTGGCCTCGGGCGGAGCGGTTGCGGTCGGGACTTTAACTGCCACAGTCCTTCTCTTTGACAGTATGGGGGGAGACAGCTACGCTTCACCGGAAAATGCAAGTCAGACCAGGAAGCCCAAATGCAAGAAATAGGTGTGTGTTCCCGGCGTTGCGAAGATTCGAGGCTGCGGCGGACACGGTCAACCGTCAGATTTAGTGAGCCGTTCTTGTTGCCGTCGGATAGGAGAAGGAGATCGCTCTACATGAGGGTCAAGATTTTCATCGCAGGTAAAGCGGACCCAGACCTCAGTATTAAACCGGCTATATAAATCTGCTTTCCTGCTTGGCTCGAATGTAGCCGAGTCATGCGGATCTGCGAGCGACATCTTTATCGCCATGATTCTAGCATTGTAACTGGAGTGTCTGTCAACTCACCACCACTTACACAAAAGGCTGGTAGATGTCCTAGTTTCGTGACGTGTTCCCAGCACAGACGGTTATCTTCAAACGTACATCCCGCTAGACGGACTTCCGCAAATGAAGGCCGAGCATAAGATTCGCAAGCAAGACCATTATTGAGACGGCTTCGACCATGGCACACACTCGTGCACCAGTCTGGAATTTTGGACTCCCGACGTCTGGCAAGTCGCCCGGCCAAGCTCGAGCAGTCGGACGTTGCAGGGTCACCACACCCAATGTATGCTTCGCGGCCGCCATGATGCACACTAAGGATTTTTTCATATGGCAACAAAAGCCGAGTTCAATATGCAGCTAGCGCCAGTGCCGCCCGTTCAATATGGTACAGCTAAGTTGCACTGGCTGAAGTTCGCGTCATAAGTGATGTCAGGGTGGCCGCCTTCAGCGGCAGGCTAGCTGGCCAAGGCGGACTTGCATGTGATACTGTGCACCACCGTCACGACCGCACATCATGTGATGCCGGCACATATTGACCGTCATGTGCGCCGCAAGGCGACGAAGCACAATCTACATGAGTACGCGGGCGCGCATCAAAACAAGTCTTGAGAGATGCGACTCAGTCGATCTCGCAAGAAGGAGACCGTCTCTGGCGAGCCTGGTGATCACATCGCGGGGCGCCGCTAGAGCCAGGCCGGCCGCCCGGGGTTTCCCATGTCCATCCTGAGCATACCTGATTAACAAATTAATAAAACCGTTTGGTTCAAGCCGGACGTTCGCGCAAAACTCACTGATAGGTTGGTTAATTATAGCACGTTCATGCTTCTGGCACCGTGGCCCTTGCTATAAGGTTATACATTCAAATTGTAGCTTGAATATTGCACCAGTGGTACGTAGACATGCTGTGTTGTATACGCTCATGCAGTGACCGAACGGACTCAATCTCTGGATCAGTATGTATATATTCCTGCCAAGGCTGGAGACCGCTGGTCATGGCAGGGCCAACATGGGCGCGGTCAGAGGTCATTAAACTGCTAGAGGGTCACGCGCGGCCGCGAAAGGAAGCCTGCTTTTCGAGGTAAGCTGACCAACCGCATATCTATTGTCGACTAAAACGCAGCGGCGAGTCAGAGTTTGACCACTGGTCTGGAAAGCAACTCAATGTTCGGACGTTTGAATAACCTTGCGCGCTCTTACAGTAGTACACGCCATGGCCGCTCTGAGACTTCGTTTGACAGTAGAGTTCAAATTCAACCGGCCAGTATGTACACCAGACCATTCGTCTGATACCCTCAAAGTGTTCTCTCATCGTCTCCCGTAAATCCGCAGCCGCTTATTGGACCAGAATGTTCTCCTTTAAACTAATGCCGACGGTTCGGGGCAGACAAGTGCAATTTGAGATGCTTCCTTGACTACGAAGAGAAGCATCTTCGACAAAGGTTGACGTTTTGTATCTACAGTTCCATGGCCAGTAGACACTGCAAGAACACGTCAAGATTCAAAGTCAGTCAGTCATACGACACACAGTCATAGACAACACAAAATCGTGTGATCCTTTCAACCGGCAAATGTCTACAAGTTTTGTGAAGTCTTTCGTAACCTGATGCTGCTAGGCAAAGGATGATTACTCACTGCAAGCCAAACAGACGACAGACTGGGTTATGCATTGGGCGGTAAACGCCCCTCGAAAGGTCCAAAAGATCCTATGTTTGGACAACGGTTTGGAACTTGAAAAGAGCCATCGAGGGCGCTTTTGCACTTATGTGAACGGCGAGACAATCGTCTGGTGCAAAGGACGCGGTGATCGACGTTTGGCGAGCGGCAGATTGGCAGTTCGAATAAAGACGAGACAGAATATTAGACAATGCTGACTTTACAACCCAAGGGGGCATACTTTCACGTTTTTTGTTGAACCAAGGCAGTTTGATGAGATATTCGCTCGTGGGCATAAACAAGTTTGCACACCTAAACCCAGAAGTGCATGCTCCACGCTCATACCCGCCCTAAACCTAGAACCCGGGCAGTTTTTTGAGTCAACATGGCACTTAATCAACATGAATTCGAGAGACGTAAGAATGACCGACCTCTTCCACGTGGGCAGTCACGTGGCTTATGTCCGTCCCACTGCCAAACTCCACAAAGCACACGGGGCAACTCGGCTTGAACTCCTCCCCCCCCGCTTGACTCCCTCCGACTCCACTCGGTCCTGCCCCACCGCCCTGTGTTCCCCCTTTTTGGCCATTTCCGGGGGGTACCGGTTTCCCATGCTCTCGCCCCCCGAAGCGGTCCTCTTGATTCGAGCGGGGCAGTTTTGCGGCAGGGTGGGGAGGCGATCGGTCAACGAAACTGTCGGCGGGTCTTTTGAGGGCGCGTTCGGTGTCTAGGTGGGAGGCGCAGCCGTCGGTTCCGGAGGGATTTGCTGAGGAAGGGTTGGTCTTGACATCGGTGGATCCCGGGCCGGCGTTGGCGTCTGTGAAGAGCAAAACGTGAGCGGATGAGATTGATTCCCACCAGTCGCCGAAGACTCTTCCTTGGCAGCGTTGCGTTTGCTTGCAGTCGACCTTCTTAGGCTCCGGCCGCTGGACGAGCGTCTTCGAGGGCAAAGAACTGTAGATTGGAAGTTGTCAAAGCGCTGCAGGCCTTTTTTTGTAAGCACTCCCACGACTGGACGCGAAAAAGCCTTGGACTTATGCATCTGGACGTCCTATGAAGGATGTGCAAGCAGCAAGCAGTCTGCCGAGGTAGCCGGCTGGACCTTTTAAGCCCGACTCGCTATGGCTTCGTCTTTTCAGAGTACTCTAAGACGGGAGCAGTTCCAAACCAGAGATCATGAACTCTGAAAGCAAGGGGTAACAATGACTGCTGCCTCTGATGGCAATCCAAGGCCCCTCCGAAATCAAGCCCTGTGAACCTAAGGGACTCCGAAGCCCCTCGCTCCCTTCAACGTCTTCGCCATTGCTGCCCTCTGGAAAACCAATAACCTACGACAAGAATGCGGCGAAACACCTAAAAATCTGACTTTGCATAGAAAACGTTACCTGGTCCTCGCCCACCGTTCGGGTTCTCTAAGGCCCCTTGCTTTGCCACTCCTCCTCGAAGCTGCTCCCAAAATTGAAGAAGTTTGCAACGAAAACTGCAGATTGCGCAGGTACCCTTACCTGGTTCTCGCCCATCGTGCGGATCCTCAACAGCCCCTTGTTCCGTCACTCCTCGTCGAAGTTACTAGAGCTAAAAAATTGGAAGAACTTGTAAGCATTTTCGCGCGCAAGTACTCTTACCTGGCTCTCGCACGTCATTTGAATCCTCTACAGCCCCTTGTTCCCGCCACTCCTCGTCAAAGTGGCTGGTACTCGGGCCAACCCCTGCGGCGCCCACCCCGCAGTCGGTGTCGTCTCCGGTGGCAGAGTCCTCGTTGGGGAGCGGCTTTACATTGGCGTAGTAGGGGGCGATGTGATGGGTGGTCGTTTGAAGAGATCCCAGCAGGTCGTTCTCCACGATCTCGTGCCTGGACAGGAGCATCTGACGTTTTAGGCTTTTGAAGACTTAGGGTTTCGAAAGATGCTAGTTTCAGGCGTTTGCTTGCCGACCATTAGGGATGGGGGCTTACAGAACCGAGCTGACCAGGTCGGTTCTCCTTCATTTGCACGTCTTCGTTGTTTTTCGTTTCCTGGTGAGTAGGGCTTTGCAAGCACACGCTTTGAGATGCAGGATTTCGATGGCCGTCAGTTTGGAGGGAGACTGAGCCGAGCCGGCTTTGCCATGTACGCGCCTTTTGAAACTTCGATGAGAAAATCAGCGATGCAACCTGAAACTCTCAGCTAGCCCCAGTTCAGCGAGAACGATTAAGGAGCAGACGGCTCAGAACTGTCCAATCCAGCTGGCTTGAAAGCAGGTGAAGTTAATAACCCAGTCACACCCCCTGAGAGGTCATCAAAAGCAAGGACGAATTGGATTCGCAAGCTCTCTTTCCGCCCTTCCTATTGCTCTGTGTGATGGACAGGGGTATTGTTGCCACCTCAATGACAGCAAATCTGGGCCCGATTGTGCACGAGTTATCTTCTAGTCCCGTTCCAATGCCAACCTTCCCAAAAAAATAGGGCGAAGATTGGTTGATTCGCTGGTTCACGCAAATAGAAACCGCCGGAATTGAGGCAGATGAGCAGGCAGTGCGACTCACATGGTTTTGCAGCGGGTCTCCAGAATGGCCGTCAGGTTCACAACTTCCATCCGGATCGCAGGGATGTCGTTCCCTTCTCGTCGGAACTGCGCAGAGAACGTAAACACGTCAAGGAAACCGTTGAACGGCGTTATAAATACACCACAAAGCGGTTGTCTGCAGGCAAATCTGTGAAGCGCACTTGCCGGACAATGACAGAAGGTTTCCACGCCGACAGAACGTTTCCACTCCGATTGAGGAAGCGTGGAACAACAGTCTCTGGTCGAAGGGCGTCTCCTGAAGCTTCGCCATCCGCTCGACTATCACGCCTAGTTCGCTGGTGGTTGTGTTTAAAACTCTGTAGTGCAAGATATGCTGTCTTTTTACTAAGAAGCCCGCAATCTACCAGGTCACACAGGCTTTCCCAAAGCTCCACGACTACCTTGATATTCTACTTTGATATTTTACTTTGATGTATGACTTTAAAGAATTCATAAACAAACCCGTTATGTTTGACTGAGACTGGGATTGGGAAGAAATTATACCAACATGCAAGAAGCCCATGAATCTTGAAGATGCAACAGCTCTGAGAGTGTCTATTTAATTCAACGGCGTCTCTACCGATTTGGCCAACCGCTCAACCGTCGTGTCTAGTTGCTGCTGGCTATTCTCGAAGAAGCAATTTTGATTAGGTTTGGTTTGAGCGACTCAACGGAAAGCCCCCAACTCCGAACAACGTTCAAAGTGGACAGAACAGCTCCTCCTTGATCGAACGGCTTCTCCACCAATTTGGCCAGCCGCTCGACCGTCGCCTCTAGTTGCTCCTGATATTTTCACAGGTCCTGGTTGTTGTCGAGCTACTCAAGGGGAAGTCCAGATTCCTGACAGCCCTGAAGGTATACGACCACACCCACCTGATCAAAGGGCGTCTCCACCAACTTGGCCAGCCGCTCGACCGTCGCCTCTAGTTGCTGCTGGTGGTCCTCAAACAGGTTCTGGTTGATCTCGTTCTGCTCCGGCGAGATGTCGTCCTTGAAAAGATCGCTGCCGAACATGTAGAACGCGAACGCATACGAGTAGGCGAGGACGCGGCGAGCGCGGAAGAGGCACGACTGCGCGTTCGTGAGCCAGCTGTAGTCTCGAACGACGGACTCGCTCTCCTCGAGGATTGCGATCTTGGACTGGACCACTTCCCGCTGCTTGTCCTCCAATCTGTAGAACGAGAGCACGGGCTTCAGCGTTCAGCAATGTGATTCAGGACTTCAAATGCCAGCCTTTAAAACATTGCTGTTTGTTTGGTTTCAAACATTGCAAAGGTCTGAGGGACGATACACTCGCTCTCCTCAAGGACCGCAGTCTTGGACTGGACCACCTCGCGTTGCTTGTCCTCCAGCCTGCACGAGAGCGTTACTAGCTTGCAAAACGGCCAGGATCGCACTTCAGGGCTAGCTCTGATGACAGTCTGCTCTTGTTTGGCTCCCGAACTCAACGTTTTGGGGTTCAATGGTCTATTGGCTCAAGCATTGCAATCTTGGACTTAACCCCGTTGCGCTGCCTGGTATCCAACCTATACATTGAGGTGAAAGAAGCTGGACTTTCGGAATCTTCAACACCTGCACCAAAGACCTCAGAGACCATCTTTACGAGATCTCGCTGTTGTTCAATGCCGGAGTTCAATTCCAGAGTTCCATTCCGGAGTTGGGTCGAAAGCTTTTGAGGACGAGGGTCTCTTCGCCTCAAGGACCGCAACCTTGAACCAGACAACATCGCGCTGCCTTCTCTAACCTGTAGAACGAGGCCATGTGAGCTTCAGGTTTCAAAAACATTCAGAAAGTAGCTTCGAAATTCAGATGCCAGCTTTGTGAACTTCTGCGCCCGTCGACTCTCGCATGCACCTCAAAATGCTGCGGCTTCAAAAGTCGCCTCCAGAGAGCTCATTCTGGCTATTCGAAAAACAGCACGAGAGATCCAGGAGCACAATCCAGATCGGAAGGTGCCGCGCAAAGATCAGAGGCCAAAACGGGGAACAATTTGTTACCGTAAGGATTCCATGTGCCTTTTCCATCTTGTGTGGTAGTGCATGTATCGCTTAAGGTCCGTCTCTGTCTTTTTGGCTTCAATACCGCACGCCACGTTTGTTTAATCGAACGAATCACACGAAAAAGAAAAATCTTAGCGACTAAAATGGGAGAAACATCCGCACCGTAGAGACTCCATGTGGCCCTTCCATCTGGTGTGGTAGTGCATGTACCGCTTGAGGTCCGTCTCCGCCTTCTTGGCTTCCCGCTCCTTGTCCTCCTTGTAGCGCCCGCACGAGTGGCCCTCAATGCGCGACCAGTCATGCGCAAGGCCGGTCCTGCAGCAACGAATGCCGAGAGCCGAAATCTTCTAGAGCGCTGAAATATTTAACCCTTGAAGGCTTCGTCTTTTCGAGATTGGAATTCCAAGTTGCTCTTCTACCCAGTGATTTGTGCCCACAAGAACGGCCCTCGATGCGAGACCAGTCATGGGCAAGGCCGGTCCTGCAGGAACGAACGGAGTGCCCAAAGTGTTCTGGGCGCTTAAATCTAGACCCTTGAATGTTTCTTCTAGTTGGAGTTAAATACTAAATTGCTCTGCACCTCAAATATCTGTGCCCACTAGAACGTCCATCGACTCACGAACAAGGAGTACAAGAAGGGAGGTCCTAAAGAAGGGAATGCTCGATAAGCGCCCAACGATGCAGGAGACAAACAATTTTGCTGTGTCCCAACGAGGGCGACCTTCTTGCACGCTAACATTTTCATTCGGACATCGGGCCTTGATAGGTGGCGTACACACTCTCAGCTTTCCTGGTTGATGCAGACCCGCATGCATTCACGTTTTCAGCTTTTCAATGCAAGATGAGGACAACGAGTCACTTACGCTGCGCCGCAGAGCCAGCAGAAGGGCTGCAAGCAAAGTGAAGCAATTGTCAAGCAGGATACTTTCGCTAATTGGGAATAACGGTCTCGTTTCATCCGAATGTTGCCAGCTCCGAGTAAGTTATCTTTTTTACTATTTGATGCGCCTCTCCAAGTAAGCTGATTACTTGAGACAGACTCGATGAGATATGTTCTCTACTGTACGAAAATTCGACGAGCCTGCTGGAGGCAAAGCCGTTCAAAGTCTTTACGTTCGACTTCCGCGGACTGCCTAACCCGTTCGTCACGGCACTCTCACCATTGACACAGCTGGACAACCTGCTACCAGAAAGTGGAAGGAGCCTTTGCGAATTTCGTGCTGAATTTGAGAGCTAGGAGAAAGGAGAAAGTCAGCCTACGTGGCAGGCATTCCACAGTGCTCGAACCGGATTGTCACAACCGGGGTACTCTGACGCACCTGTTTGCAGGTACATTGCACCAGATTGCACCCTCCGCTTTTCTCGACCTGAACACGCAGAGAGTTGAGGTTAGCTTCAGCTTCGGCAGGGTCGAAAGGGCCGAATAAAAATTGAACATTCGGAAAACCAATCAAGAAGCACAACTTTCCCTATCCAAGATGGTAACCATTTGACGGACGAGAACCCTTTGCTAACGGAGAACCGGTTCTTGGGGACTGTGAGATCAGCACGACTAAGATCACAGTTAAATCCCAAGACAGAAAATAAAAAGCCAATAGGGGGTCTTTGGCCCGTCCTGCGACCGTTCAATGCACGTTACAGGAAAGTCGATTGTCTACATCAACTTTTGGTCAATTCAGTCGTGTGCTCCCAACGCATACCGTCACTTCGTGTTGGCCGTAACGACAGCCTGACAGCACGCTTGACAAATTTCTGGGCGAGTATTAAGCTCCAAGAACCCACAGAAATGGAGTCCAACCTTGTGTCCGCACTTCGAGCTAGGCTTCGTGTCCAGCCTTCACTCACCTTCACCAGCCAGTTGACCGTCTCAGACTTGTTGCACAAGTCTTTGACACGTTGAGAGGCTTGGAAACATTTCTCGATAGTCAATCTAACAACGTGTGCTCCCACCTTCTTTCCAGCTTTGCACAAGACTTCGTGTGCGCCACCACGCCAGAATGAAGACACCTTTTCTCGGAGGATCTCCGCAAATATCAAACTCTAAGAGCGGAGTTCCCACCTTCTCCCCGCACTTCGGACACGGCTTCGTGCTGGCCACCACCCACCTGACCGTCTCCGATTTGTCGCACGACTTGATCATATACCATGAAATTCGAAGTAATCTCTCAACAATTGATCTGAAAACCGAGCTCCCACCTTCTTTCCGCACTTCGGGCACGGCTTCGTGTTGGCCACCAGCCAGTTGACCGTCTCTGACTCGTCGCGCGACTTCTCGTCCCACCGCCGCCAGATGTCGCACGAGCAGGGGGAGTGCGCTTCGAGGCCGCAGTTGAAGCAGAACGTCAGCCCGCACGTGCACTGCACCTCCACGTAAGGCTCGCCCTCAACTCGGAGGGCGTTGCCGCAGTGCGGGACGCTGGGGCACCATTTGACCTGTACAGATCCACGAGTCGTTTGGGAATAATTTCAGGTTTCCTTTTTTCCAGAGAAAGCTGAGTCCAAATCTGGGCCTCCGACCAGGAGGGCGTTGCAGCAGTGCGGGCTGCTAGGGCACCACTTGATCTTTTAAGAATCACCATTCTTCAGATAGAGTTTCGAAGTTCATTTTCTCAAGGAAAGCTCAGTCCAATTCCGAGCCTCCGACCAGGAGGGCGTTGCCGCGGGGACTTTGGGGCACCACTGGACTTAGCAAAACACAGAATGCTTCCAGATTCAGCTTTTCCGGCATGATTTATGAAGAAGTGGCTATGACCATAACCATTTGAAGATAAAGTTGCCGGTTCAGCAGAACTGACGTACCAAGAGAAGACAATGCACGGCCGAAAGAGTTACCTTGCTGCTCGTTATTGATTGTGGGATCCATTGCACTACCAGGAATATGGTACGGCTAAACGAAAACGGCGAGAGCCACCGCGAGGTCTGCTTGTCCGCACGATTGAGCTCCGCCAGCAAACGCTGTTGAGGGGATACCGACAGCAGCGAACGCCATCTGCCTACCTTCCTGTGAGCTCCGAGCAGCAGCAACCTCCTATTAGGAAACGAACGAAGGAGCCGCACAGATTACCTGCCCGCAAGATAAAAAAAGGTCACAAGAAGCAATCATTCCTACCTTGCTGTTGTCCTCGATGTACGACTCCAGCAGCGAGCGCTCGTAGCGGTCCACGGCGAGCGGGTCCGCTTCCGCCACGAGCTTCAGCACTTTCTCCTCGTCGCAGATGGCGTTGCACTTGTGGGCCATGCACGTGATGCGCCGGCTCTGGCCCTCACGGATCTTCATCAGAAAGTACGTCGTCCAACCTGCAGTAAAAAGACTTGTAGGCTGTTAGGATCTTCGCAAATCCCGGAATTCATGGGTTCAACGGCTGTAGAATCTTGGAAATGGTGGTTCCGAAAGTTTGTTCCTCGTCGTGAGCTTTTACTTTGCCAGCCGCACACGTGATGCGCCGGCTCTGGCCCTCACGGATCTTCATCAGAAAGTACGTCGTCCAACCTGCAGTAAAAAGATTTGTAGACTGTTGGGATCTTTTGCAATCCCAGAGTTCATGGGTTCAACGGCTGTTAAATCTTGGAAATGGTGGTTCCGAAAGTTTACTCCTCGTCCCGTTAGCTTTTACTTTGCCAGCCGTACACGTGATGCGGCGGCTCTGGCCCTCACGGATCTTCATCAGAAAGTACGTCGTCCAACCTGCAGTAAAAGATTTTCAGGCTGTTAGAATCTTCGCGAATTGCGGAACTCATGGGTTCAACGGCTGTAAAGGGTGGTTCCGAAAGTTTAGTCCTCGTCGTTAGCTTTTACTTTGCCAGCCGTACACGTGATGCGGCGGCTCTGGCCCTCCAGAAGCTTCATCAGGAAACATGTGGTCCAACTTGCGGGGTACGCTTTGAACGTTTCGTACGATCAGCGGCTGCAGATTCTTGTTGATATCTGATCGAGATGTTTCTTTTACGTTTCATTCGCTTTGCATTTTCATCCAGGCTCGTAATGCTGGCCTTTGTTCATCAGGAAGTGCGTGGTCCACCCTGCGGGACACGCTTTCAGGGTTTCGTGCGACTAAAGGCTGCAGAATCTTGCTGATATTGGATCAAGATGTTTCTCCGTTTCGTTGGAGTTGCAATCGCCAATCATGCACGTTCCTTAGCACGTCTGTGGTCCGATCCGCACCCCAGGGTGGCGGACTTAGAGACCTTGGATACTTTTGCGGCCCAAACCTTAGACGGCCCAGATATAAGGCATACCCGGAGCTAGAACGGATCTGAGGCTGAACAGACTCCTTGCAGACGTCTAAGAGCCAACACCTCAAGGGACCAGCTCATTGTAGCTTCACCGAGACATACGTGCTTTTCTACGGAACCACACCTTGGTACAGGCCCAAGGAACATAGGCAGGCCTGACAAGAGACCACTCACAGTCGTTGCAGTAGATATGCGAGCAGTCCATGACTGTGGCGCTGTCTGCAGGAACGTCATCGAAGCACGTCCCGCACGTGAATTCAGCTTCCTTCGGGCCACTCGCGCGCCGGTGCATCGAACGAGGGGGCACGCCGGCGGCAAGGAAGAGGCGCTCCTCGCCCTGCAAAAGCGTGATCGGGTCAAGGCCATATCTTATTCGACTGGAGGCTACTTACCTGCATATCATCCACCCTACAGGTGATGATCGGACAGCACGAAATGGTCAGCAACAACAACTAGGGCCGGGGGTAGGGGGTCAACCCCCCTCATCCCCCCCTGCACCTCCCGCACCCCCGACACGCGAGCGCGCCCCTATCTAACCAAGAAATCCGGAGAATGCTGCTCTAGATTGTACTCATAGCACTTGAAGTGTGTTGTTGTGATGCTTAACAAGCCGGCTCAAGCACAGCTGACAATGGTGGCCGAAGAGTCAGCATGCGAAGCCAGTGCTTGAGAGTCAGACTTCCCCCAGAATGGAGAAGGAACTCAGTCAATAAGCACAAGGACTGATAAAAACAAGACGTGTTTCTTTACAGGAATGCATCTCAGATCCTTCAAGGACGGTCAGCGTCAAAGGTGGCAGGAAACATGCTCTTCCACTTTTGGCACGACACGCATGATAGACGCATTTGCCGCAATCAACGCAAAGGAAGAAGCTTCATAAAATACAAGTTCCCGAACGGACCTGCTCGGCCAAGGCACTGAAAAGGTTTTCCACGTCCCATCGGTGGTGAATTAGAAGGCTCCTTGCATGTTGGAGACGGATCCCCAGGACATCTTGGATTTGCTTCAGGTCCCGGCACTGCAAAACAAGTGACGCCATGTCAGGCGGCAACAAAGGCTGGCAATCGAGCAACAGGAGTAAAGCCCAAGTAGCTGCAAAATCCCGCTAGTAGTGAAGCAAAAACTCACCGCACGGTCGAAAAAAGCTCTGACTCTGGAAGACCGTCCAACGGGACTGAAACAGTCATCTAAGATCAGCAAGAAGGTGTTCTGAGCAAGAGGAGATTAACGCGAGGGTCAACAAAACTGCACCATCAGAAACGAAAACTCCTCGACTTTCACCAATAAGTATGGTCTCCAACGAAAGCAGTCTGAGAAGGTATAGCTTCTGCGTCAAGACCTAGTGACAAGTGGATTGTACTGCATCCCTTCCGCACTTCGTACTCAGGGTGCAAACTTGCAGTCGTGTTCGCCAATTAGCTTTAGATGGTAGCTCCTCTACACCCGCAAACACACCAGTGTCTATATCAGTCTTGCTCAACTCTCACCTGTGCAGAAAGGAGAGTTGTCTTGTCGATGACCTGCAGGCAATAGAAAGAAGCGTTGGTCGACAATTCAAGCTAAACAAACTCGTACCAAAGTCGTACTCATGGCCCTGATTGTCAAGTGGCCACTTTCGCCATGAGACTCCCCCTAGGTTCTTTGGAACATAAACCAACCTTCAGAAAGGATTTGGCCGTCTTGGCCAGCAGAGATAGTTTGGCTCTCCCCCTTTTGCAAGACATTGGAGTTGGCTTTACAATCGCTGAGCACACTTAGGCATCTCCATGATCTTCCTCATACTGTACAGGCAGGATTGATCTGGGTGGGAGTTTGAGATTGTTGTGTGCACCTTGTATCTAGGCCCGTCATGCTCGCGTGCAGTCGCCACATGGTCAGGGTACTCGTCATCGCTGTCTGTGTAGGCTCCCTGATCGCTGTCAGACCACCCAGCGCCCTCCATGCTGAAAGTACAAGCACCAATAATTGAGTGAGAACATACAAGTAACAACAGTTGAAGACTCCTTCTGCTCTGACGCTGAAACGGTCTCTGATTGAGATCCGTTCGCGCACTGGTCTTGAGGAGTTTATGAAACCATGTTCAGAAGCTTCATGTAACAAGCTTCAGAACAAGCTCAGCGCTCGAGTTGATGTGTCAAGATTGAACAAAATGAACTAGCTTTGCCAGGCAGGATCAAGATCATGCCGTTTAAGTGCAAAGACTGACACTCCTTGCCAGACAGTTACTCCAGTTCAAGTCATGTTTCCTGTTTTTGTTGCTGGGGGGTATTGAGCCCTAAAAGAGTGGATGTCTTGTGCACCAAGTAAAGTGCCAAGGTTTATGTTGGAACTCTTCGTGATTCCTCACCTCAACTTCTCAGAAGGAGGCTCGTCGTATATATGGCCTGTAAGAAATGGGATGGCACACTGTTTACTATTCTTCAAAAAGTGCCGATAGCCCAACATCGCCAAATGGCGAAGGCTTTTTAAGCAGCCCTTCCAATAAAGCCCTGCCACTGCCTTGACAGATGGTTTTGTTCTTGCTCAACCTAACTTTGTAAGTGCACATAGGGATCTAAACCTGTGACTTAGGTGGTCGAAGCAGCTAGACGTAATGAGATGTCAATGCGAGTGTATGTTTCAAAGGAATGCCGCTGCCACTTTTGGGGGTAATTTTTGCTGTAAGTGGTGCATTGCTTAAGCTACTGTGCTGGGTAAGCAAAAGAGCGAGGCGCCATTGACTCCGCCCCAGCAATTGCCTTTAGAAGGCAACTTGAGTTTTCAAGGCACAAAACAGGAGTCAGAGACATAGGGATGCACGAAACCCCCATCTGTTTTGCCTAGCAATTCATCAACAGAGAGCAAAAGAAGGCTATTCGTGAAAAGCACTGTAGCAAGTGCCGATATGAATGAAACCTCTGGAACCTCTCCAACTTGGAGGACGAGAATCTCAGCTCATCTCTTGAGGGAAGCGTCTGACTCCTTCCCATCTGTCAGCTGCCCCATACGCAGAATGAGTACTGAAACCAGAACTCTTGTCCAGGGCCCTTATTGTTTTGACTTCGGGGAAGCATCACAATTTCCTTAGAAAGGAGCTCCTGATGCCATTAAACTTGCACACTAGATGATCACGTCACTTTGTTCTATCCTCACATTATGGAAACATTCAAAGTAGTTTGTGCTTCTGCAGCGGCATCTCTAGCCAAAGGAGATCGGAGATTGCACCACTGCGATATTGCAGAACAACAAGCAGCAAATCAAACACGGCACATAGAAAGGCGGTGGACTCCAAAAGGAGAGGTGTTTCTGCACCTGATTGTCAATGCAGGATATTCCTCAACACCTGACGCCAAAGTCTACCCACGTCGAAGTGCCCCGTTTTGGAAAGTAGATCATGCACCTTTACGAATCAGTCAGAAACGTCGAGCTTCAGATGCCAAATACTGTGGCTTGCCCATCTTTACAAACAGCTTTTGCAACTTGCAGAAAGCATGGTGCCCAATGCCCACGCCATGGCCTTCAATCCTCAACAACAGGATCAACATCTGATCCTGATTTTGTCATAAATTATTATTGATGGAATTCGCCTGTGTCAGGTCCTTGCTGACTCTTGCCTCAGTCCGTACGCACGCTTCTGGCGATTTGACACAACCATCATTTTGAATCTTCCAAAGAGACAGTGTGTCAAGTTGAACCTTCGGAAAGGCAAGCGACGCCTGGCGGCGCCCCTCGCCCCAAACGTCAATCAATCAATCAATTTATTTTATA